AAATATGTCACTTATCTGCTTTTTGAATAAAAGACTTGGAAAATGTCATGTGGTGGTGAACATTTTTATCCACAAGGACAAATACAGGAGAGCTTGATGATGAACACAGGCCACTGCTAAGAAAGACCACAATTACCTATGACAGCATCAGAGTATCCTCAGAGTAGTAATACTATTCGGCTGAGCCCTGGCAGGATGGCTCAATTGGTTGGAGTGTTGACCTGAGTACCAAGAGTTTTCTGATTTGATTCCCAGTCAGGGCACAAGAAGGGCACAGTGCAGGTTTAATTCAGTAAATCTGAAGGGCAAACTGACCCCAGCAAGTAGCCGCTGCTGAAAGAAGCCCACCTTGAGCCTGTGATAGGTGATGGTGGTCTACTCCAGGGCAGAGGTTCTTCAACTGTTTTTGGTATTTAAATCACCTGAGGTGTCTGCTGAGACTGTAAATCCTGGCCCATCCCAAGGGAGTCAGATTCTGTAGATCTAGAGGGTGCCCAGAAATCTGCATTTTCAGCAAGCACTTCAAACACTTCTGAAACCCCTGGTTCCCACAGCCACTTAGGACTCTCATGGGCCCCAGGCACTTTGGCCTTTGTGGGCCTCTTACTCTATTAAGTATTAAAACTTGTACTTTGAAACTTCATTGATATAAACATGAATGTACTTGAGGATGGATTAAACTTTTTTTTAAAAAGAGACTAAGCCACTTTTGTGGACCCCTGAAAGCTCAGGGGCCCTAGCCACTGTGCCTACTGTATAGGTCAGCCCTACTGTGACTTTAGGCACCGGATGAGCTTGTATTCCTTAATCCCTCCAGCATCTAGGGTAGTGGTTCCCAATGGGGGTACACACCCCACAGGGGGGCAATTTGATTTTTAGGGTGGGCAATTTTAGAATGAGTTATTAACAGTGAATTTTTTGCCTTTCTTATGGTTTTAGGTGCCTCATACAAAGTATATAAATATATATTGTGACATATTTATGCATTTCAGTTCTCTTTGTTTTGAAACTTTATTTGCTATTTTTTTCATATCACTTCATATTATTATTATTTTTTAAACAATTTCTTAGTGGTTTCTTCCTCAGTACTTCAATTGTCCTTTCATTCTTTTGTTTTTCTCTTTCATGGATGCCATGTTCTTTGGAAGCTTATTTAGACCAAGTTAATGGCCTTTAAGGCTTCCTCCACGTGAATGTGAGTTCACTTTATGAATAATAAGAATTGTATGTCACAGGGAGTGGGGGGGCATCAGGTTTTAGAGATACTGAGGTGGAGCATGGCCAAAAAAAGGTTAGGAACCACTGCTCTAGGGTCAGTGCTTTAATAATTGATCTGCCCTAGCTGGTTTGGCTCAGTGGGTAGACTGTCGGCCTGCGGACTAAAGGGTTCTAGTTTCGATTCTGGTCAAGGGCACATGCGGCATGGCTTGCAGGCTTGATCCCCAGAAGGGGGCGTGCAGGAGGCAGCCAATCAATGATTCTTTCTCATCATTGATGTTTCTATCTCTCTCTCCCTCTCCCATCCTCTCTGAAATCAGTAAAAATATATTTTAAAAAT